TCTCTCTCTCTCTCTCTCTCTCTCTCTCTCTCTCTCTCTCTCTCTCTGTGTGTGTGTGTGTGTGTGTGTCTCTCTCTGTCTCTTTCTCTCTCTTTCTCTTTCTCTTTCACTCTCTCTGCGCATGCTCGTCTCTGTATCTTACTCTAGTAAATAGACTCTTGCTTGTAAAGAAGACGACGCAACCCCATAACTTTGGCAAACACATTCGGAAATCTTGCATACAAGTTGATACGGAAAATGCGCCGAATCGATCAAACGATCTGGCGACAGTGCCATATAAATTGAGAACACTTCTGTTTTCAAACGTTAAAGAAAAAACTTGGATCGTTACTTGCAAACTGGGAACGATAAAATTTTCCACATATATTGTAGCGATTGTATCCTACAGCACTGGTGTGAAAGTAGCAAAAATCAACTTGGCCCAGCCATTATAACAGAGCGACAAAATTTCACTTTTATTTTTCATTTAAATAAAGTCCGTTTCAATCAATGCTAACTACTAAGCCTTCCAACAATATCTCCAAAAGCCAATAACAAAAGATTTTCAAAGTAAAAAAAGAAATATTTGGGAAACTCCTATCCTTTTCAGTTGCTACGCCGCCTGCCAGTATTTTAAAAGAATTTCCTCAAATTGAAAAAAATTGTTTTAAAAAATAATAATCTCAACAAGTTGTGGATCTCATAACGAGTCAAAATCTGATAAAATTAATGACGCCTTCTGAAAAAGGTTCAGACCAGTTTTGTATAATAATATAATGCACCAACAGATGCCTTTCAAACCTAATATCAAATAAAAATACATTATTGTAGCTTCGTGAAGACGAACTTTGAGTAGACATTAGGCTGAAAGCGATTCGAAGACGTTCTAAGCTTCTGTTAAGAATTATCAAGTTTGGGATGAAGTTTTTAGTGTCGATTGTGAATTCGAATGTTGGCGTAACACGTCAAGTTCGATTCTCTCATCGACGGATGCAACAAAACAGGCACGCTCGTGCATAACATTTTTGGGTAAAGAGAATTATGAGAAATATTTGAAAGGCATTTTTATAGTCCTCTAATCATGTACTAATGCCGAAGAAAAACAAAAAATTTCTTGCGATAAGAAAACATTTCATGCAAAACATTGCAAAATTTCAAAATCATTTTTCAAAAACTGCCTACGCTTCAATTGTTTACGGTATCTTTAAACGATATTCTCTAGAGAAATACATAGGACCTTTTCAGTTAGTTTTATACTTATATCAACATTTGACATCGGGGACATTGAAGGACGTTTAGAATAAAAGTTTTGTAAGCATCTTTCTTGAACGCTCTTTTTGACCCTTCGCAAGCTACTGCTTTCGATGCCGCCAACTTTCTAAAAACTTATTCAAAGAATTACAGCGCGTCCGTTGTATTCTGAAAATATTCTCTATTCTATTGATAAACATCTAGCCGAAGCTGATTGAGGAAAACAATTGATCAAATATTTTTTGCAAACATAACCAATTAATCCATTCCCGATGCTTTCTAGTCGATGCGTGGCAGGAGTGTTACAGATCGAATGCTTGTCTTGTGTTGAAGCATGATCTGGCATATAAACGAGCACAAGAAATTTTCATCTTAATTGTGATCATGTCAGCGAGTCTTCTACGAGCATTTCCATATTCTAAGCTTGACAGTGACTCTAGCAACACTTCAAAACAATTTTTGACTCGCTATTTTAGCTTTTTGAAGCTGATGGATAATCAGACAGAAAGACAAGGTTACCCATTACGAGTGAATAAACAAGTCCTCCTAAAACTCAGACATGGTTTGAATTTTATGTCCGCTTTTATCTCAATTACCTGTTAAAGTGACAAAATTTTCGCCTTTAGATTTTGGAAAAGCTACGAGTGATTATTTAGAAACGACGTCGTTTGGTCCCGGATTTTGGGGCTTAAAAATCATTCTTCTTTGGAAATGTGGCAGTTAGTGACCCACGCTATCACGATGCGACAATCAAAATTTTTGCGTCCGAATTTCAAAATATGAATCTGAACGACGAACAAGACGGCGTCATATGCCATAAAGACCCGAAAAATAATGCAATTAATGTAGCAACGAAATATTCTGGAAAGCAAATCGAACGAAAAGAGTGCGTATGTGCCGGCAAAAAACTTTTACCCGATATATCTTGCTATTCCATACATGCCCTTACTTATACTGCATTTACTTCATGAGCGAACATGGGTTTTCTATCGCAATTATTTCTTGCGTGAATTGTCAGACATCGCACGGATACTTTACAATTGATCTGATGCTTATTTCCCGGCGTGCAATACCCGGCTTTTCGCGGCTTACTTAATTTGATTAATGTGAGTGTAATGGAGAAAAAAAAATGTCAATCCTTACCACAATCTTTTTTTATTGCATTTGCTAGGTCTTTGCACTTTTCTCCCGAATCTAAAGCAATCAAGTTCATATTACGGGAAGCACACTCGTTCCAAGCTTGAAACCAATTAACCTAAAATATAACCTAAATGTAAGAAATTTTCATTCTTGTTTTTTTTCCTTTTTTTTTTTTTTTTTTTTAAAAAAAAAAATTACATTGGAATTTTTATTTAAATATATTTGTAGATTTTTCAAAAACAAAAAAATTTGGCCAATTGAGTTGCATTGGTTAATATAAAAAACCAGCGAAAGAAAGGTGAACGCCTTCATATTAAAATCGTTATTAAAAACCTAGAACCAATTGCTTAGGTTTTTATAAGAAATATTCCATTGTTTATGCATACTTTTTTTCTGATATTTGTTTATCAACCCGCATATATAGGTGGGCGTTATTTTTATTATTTATTATGAATTGAGGAGACAGCTTTCTTTTAGAGCGTCAAGACATAATATTCCGACTCAAATGCAGTTTAAACACCCTGTCAAAGGGCTCGCAGAAAGACGTACCGATAGTTATTGAATTCAATTTCAATTATGTTTAATCACTTTCTAGTTCAATTGGCAAAGTGCCAACGTACGTAGTATGTAAATATTATACAATGTAAATAAAAGTACTTCTCGAATACAAAAGTTAAATTTCAAGTTGCTTTTGTATTTTATAAGGACAGAACATAACTGAATGGTTACTTTTAAGTCGACCTTCAATTGTCTCACCTTAATAATGTTTAGATAGCGTTACTAACATTTAAAATGATTATAACAAAAAAAAAAAAAAAACAAGTAAGAACATTATAGTCAGGCAAGGCTGATCATTAAACATCCCCCACATACCTAATACAATGTCATTACCAACACTCACATATTCGTTCCCAGGTAGGCTTGTAACCTTCGATGGGATCGCTCATATGGAAAACCTACCATTTATGAGTGCCCTCATATGGGATGAGATCCGAGAAATTGACGTATGGGTATAGTTAACTTTTATATAGCAAATGGTTTTTATAGCCTCATGATGTATAAAAAATCAAATATTTTCATTATATATGTTTTCACTATATAATTTTCATGGAAACTTACATACGGGCTGGAGTACGTATATGAACAAAATTCGGTACAATTTATCTCTATGTCAACTTAGTATTATTAACCATTTCTATGCAAATGCAACATATTGCGAGCTTAGGCCGTTCTTCCTTAGGCTTACTTTTTATAGGTGCGATTATAGGGGAGATGGTTCAAAATATCAGCCCATTCGACTGAAATTTTTCGCCACTTTTTGTCGAGGAATTTTAAAAATTATAATTTTTTTTTTTTTTTTTTTTATATACCGACTTTACAAAGTAAGGCATTGTCGCGAGCGGTCCTGGTTGCTGGCCCACAGGATTAAAAACTCCACCTCAGAACATTGACAAAAGTCCGATAGAATATTTGCGATATTATCTCAACACAAAATTCTACGAGCACACGGCGACCAGGAAAGATGAGTTAAAAAAAAAGTCTTAAGGCAAGAATGAGAAAAATACCGCCTGACTATTGCAAAAAATTAGTTGAAGAGCATTTAAATAGTATTATTAATATTTTTTATAATGTTAGAAAATAAAAGCAATAAGAATCTTGTAGCTGGGCAAGACCGACCTTTCAATACCCTAAATCGCTTCGTCGAAAATTATTATTTATTTATTTTCGTGTATATACACCGAGCACCTTTGCTTTTAATGAAATGGCAAAATGGAAGATGGCCGACCCGCAAAACTCCGTCATCAACTTGAAATTGGAAGTTTCTTCACTGGTGTAATATGTGATTTATTATTCATAGAATCGTGCATTAAATTGTTATTAATGCCATAAGTTTATTCAAAGCAAAGTGAATGGCTTGGGTTAAAGCCACCATTTCCGCACCAACTAAATTATGTTCTTAAATGTTCTAAGAACAATACCACGATCCAATTATTTTATTTGAAATCTGGACATTTTATTGTTTTTATACCCGTCACTGTGAGGTTATACTCATTGCGTTTTTTTTTTTTTTTTTTTTTTTTTCATAACTTATGTAACACGCACAAGGAACCTTCGGAGACTCTATAACGTATACATATATATTCTTAATTAACGTGAAATTCTGAGTTGATTTAGCCATATCTGTCCGTCTGTGTGTCTGCGTGGTGTGTGTTTATGGCACTCTCCTTGACGCAAAAATGAAATAATTGACTTCAAATTTGGTAGAAACATTGGAAGTTTCTGTACGCCGGACGGTATTGAAAATGAGCGAAATTGGTCGAAGTAAAAGGGCGCCGTGGAGCGTAAACTAATAAAAATTTTGGAATTTTTACTCATTATTTGCCTTATAAGACACTTTACTCTCTAGGTCTTAAAATGGACCAATCGGTCATGTCCACACAAACTTACGAGTAATTAATTTCATTTTTTTTTTTCACTTTAATGCTTACATAAGGCAACCAAGACAAAATATTTAAAACTACTTTGTACAGTTCTCAACTGGAGATATGTTATCTGCCTAAAAATAGGTTCATTTAAAAAAAAACATGGTAGACATTGCGATTAATTTTTTGTTAATAATACCAGCGATATGAGTATTAAATAAAAGCAATTGGAGTGTATGCGAGTGGTGCATATGCGAGATTCGGCCCCCCGTCGAATATAAATTTCTCACTTGTCTTTTATTGACTATGTTTAATCCATGTTTAAAGTTCTAAATGTAACGGTAACAGGAGCATTTTTCATTGAAGAAACCTTAATGAGAGGTATAACTGCTTGCGTTACTTGAAAAATAATCTGAACCGCGTTGGTAGATATCCGCTGGTGAATTACTATTCTTCTGATGCAAAAGAAACGAATGGGGAGAAATTGGAGACTTTTGAAGCGATTTAACGATTATTGCTACGATTTGGAACTTTTTTATTATAATGCCGCGCCACCTAAGGGTATCCTTTAAGGCGAAACTTTCTGATAAAAATCATATTTTCCGCGTTAGGATGTAATGCACATCTTCTAAGCGAATCAAACTTCAAGAACTCATCGCTGTTTCCTATTTTCTCACACACTCATAGAAACATTACATTAGGTTACGATTGCGACAAGTTTACTAACATACGTTAATGTATGTATTCACATAGTAATGAATATCACGGCATTCTGTAGCACTTGTTATTATATAAGCACCGGATGTAATTAAAATACGACAAAAAAAAAGAAGCAAAAGTGTTGGAGATAAATGTTTCAACTCTAAAGCGAATTTATATGTACTTATATATATATATATATATATATGTGAGGACAATGACGCATCGTTGCTGTTGATGATAATAATCGCTTAAAGAAAATGTTGTACACATACGAAGTGGTGAAATTATTAATTTTTGTGTATATATATATATATATAGGAGCATTCGTCCTTTGCTTTGATGAAAAAAGACATATATAAAATTTAAAAATTTAAACCTTCAAAAATAGGATTGTCCGCTGGGAAGACAATTTCTTCAATCCAATCGATATATGAAGAGACGCGCGTGTAAATAGAAGGCGGTTCGCCGGCACAACCCAAACCGAATGAAGTGATACCAACGACATAGTTCCTGCGGTCTTCGTCTCCACGTATAATCAAAGGACCGCCCGAATCACCCTGACATGTATCTCGTAAATGCTGAGGATCACCAGCACACAAATGCGTATCATCAAGACCAGTGGGAGCCACATCTCGGTCATTTTGATAGTATTTCGCGCATTCCTCGATAGAAATTACAAACAGCGGAGCCTTAAGTAACTGATCTGAAGGTTGGCCACCAAAGCTTTTATGACCATAGCCCAAAGCGGTAACATTATTATTAAGCATATGATTTTGAGCCCAAAGACAAGCTGGAGATTCACTAAAATGTTTAGTAAAAATGATTCAAATTCTTTTTTTTTTTTAACTATCATAAATACTGACAGGTATTGCTCTTCCAATTCAACTAAAGCAATATCATAATAGATGGAAGTTACGTTATACGCAGGATGTGTAATGAAGCGTTTAATCTTTATATCACCAACGGTGGAATCAGTAAGATTTGTGCCGCCAATACGTACCACAGTAGGTTGAGCACTAAGCAAATAAAAATTCCATTAAAACTCGAAGAAGAAATTCTTGGGCCTTTGCTCAAGTACTCACCCACCCAATTCAGCACAATGAGCGGCAGTTAAAACATAAGTATGAGATATTAAAACTCCACCGCAACGATATCGTATCGAATCGCCAATGTTTGAAGGCCAACCCAAGGCAGCCTGCAAAATGGTAGATGAGATGTCTCTTTGAAAATTGACTAATTAATCGCAACACTTACCATATAAGGGAATTCACCAGCTTCGGTTGGTAAGCCACTAACTATTACACCACGAAACACTTGACTCAATTCGCATCCTGCAGATATAATGCCAGCGAAAATAATTTTAACAATTGAAATAAATATCATATCAGGTTGTTTACAAACCTAAGTCACTACGCCGGCGCATTTCTGGTTCTTCTGTTGTCCACAACTTCTTCTTTTGTTCATCGTTATTGCTTGCCGTTAAATTACTCTTTTCCTCGTTTCTGCTCTCAGTAATATTCCAATTGCAGCAAACAATTTGCTTCCGTTTAATGAAATAACAAGTTTTCGGGTATATATGCTCCATGTCCCATTTCCTAAGCACTTCTGGACACTCATCAAGCGGTACACATTTGCCAAACTGTCGGCCATCATTTAACGTGCAATTATCCCAATTTTCCATTGGAAATATAATACCGCGCTGCGAAAAAGGACGCACGGCAGGAATTGTCGCTAAACGATTCCAAAAAAAAAGCTCATTTTATTTTCTTATTACATTCTCTTACGCGATCCGATGTACTGTACCAATTTCTTTGAAAGAAATCGCATTGGAAATCATCCAAATGTAAAAGTTTATAAAATTATTCATTGCAAAAATAAATGCTTTCACCGGCAACAATAAAAAACGACTGCTGCTGCTCAGATTTCCATAGCATTCTTTTTTTTTTTTTGTTTGCAATTGCTGCGTATTCATTATAGATGCAGGTATTGGCTGAGAAAACTGGATTTGCTTTACTTCTCATTTATTGTCTTCAGTTGCATTCATCAGTTAGTTAGTTAGTTAGTTAGTTAGTTATACATCATTTCAGTGTCAGTCATCAATCGCGTAAACTAAGATGTTTACAAAGTCGTCTGCGTTGTTTGGTCCTCAAATAATCTTTTCTATGGATTTGCATAATGGCTAAGGCCTGTTCTGCTCCGATGAATTTGGGTAAATGTTCAATTTTAATTAACATAAAAATGTCCAAAATTTGTACTTAAATTTTTACAAAGTCTAACGTAAATGAAATTTTGCCTCACACTCACCTATACAGTTATTTTTTCGTTAGTACAGTATAACGCTTTAGAATTTCTAAACAACACATGAAATGATATACGAACCTGACTATATGGCCAACTAAAAGTACATAAATGTTATAGAATCCCGAGAAGTTCTGGTGTACTTCTATTCGCCATTGAATTGATGAACACAGCTTTATATTGACAGACCTTAGCCAGTTATTTGTCTTTGCAGCAAATTTATCAATAAAACATAAATACATACATATCGTGCTCTTACATACTTTCAATTATCAAAATATGGAATATTTATATTTAATATTATTATTATTCTATTGCATACATTACGCATTTGCACATACATACAAACCTTTGTGACACCTCTTGTCGAAACTTTCCCGTAATTATCATAGCCGAACAGAATGTTTTCTATAGCACCTACTTAAGGGCTATGTAAAATACGCACTCATCTCACATTATAAGTCGGTCGAGCTAGATCGAATGTAATTTTCGGTTTTGAGATCGGTCGAGGAACTTTCAACGAATAGTGCTCGACAGCGTATGGACTTTGCTCAATATCAAATGTAAAATTTCCCAAAACACGAGAACTGTAAACCTGCCCCATGTTCCTCACTACGAGTGCCACTCTTTCTGCCTATTTAAAATACACCTGCGAATGCTTGAAAATTTAACTTTTAACTTTAATCTCAATCGTTGCCTTCGCAAGGTTTGAGGGCTTCTTGAATATTCCAAAAGAACAAGTAAGCAAATATAAAAAGGGGGGATAGAACGTGAACTGAAGTGATCCTAATTTATTAAGGCAAATTTTGTTCACACTTCCGACAAAAAGTACTACGAAGTAGACTTTGTTGCCCGAGAAAACGAATCCTTATTGCTGGTGGTTTCCAAAGAATGCATCTACATAACGTTTTCATCGTAAAAGTTCGCATATTAGACCCTTTTATACCCATCAACGTAGGATGCGAGTATATGCACTTTGACATTTGTTTACAACGTCTAATAGAGGCCGTGCAAAGTATACAGATCAGTATTAAATTGCGACTCGATCTAAGAATGTTCCGTGCATTATTTGCAGAGAACATTCCCTTGTTCGTGGAAATATCGGGCTCAGATTTTGCAAAAATTGCCCAAATTCAACTCACGGAACAACAACGTCAGCGGATCAGTACTTAGTTTCCACAACAGATATAGTGATAAAAATTTTCAAGTGTATTTTATGGATAATCTTGCAGTATCTATGCAGTAGAAAATGGGAAGATATCAATCACGCCTATCCAGTAGTACGCAGTACCGCAATTGTGTTCATTTTGCCGGTTTACTTTTAAGAGAAAAGTGACGGGTCTGATGGATTCGGCCAGAACCGAATAAAATCCGTTTCTTACCCGTTGTTATATTAACTTTTACCATCAAACCAGTAAAAAAAATAAAATTATTCTCGAAAGTATATCGCAATTATGTCAGCTAAACTAAATTAATACAGAATAAGTTCCATAACATTGCAGTCGGACAAAGTCAAACTTCGAACACTTTTCCACACCAAGTCGCAGAAATTGAACTTTGAGAAGCTAGAATGCTAATGGCATCTCTTATATCTTCTTTTCAGATATCTTATTATTTTTCACCTATATTCGTCAGCAGAACTATTTGATTTGATTCATATTTCAGATGACGTGGAATCAAAAACATGGACTTGCCTAATGCAAATTTGGTACAGTTAACTTTTATTTCAATTTCTTATTATGTACGAATTTTCATCATGAACTATTTATTGGCAGTGAGAACTTTTCACTATATAAAAGTTGACCTAACGTATCAAGGACTAAATGGGAGGAGATTAAGAAAAAACTATCGAGAAATATTGAAAAAAAAATGTAATAAATCTTAACTCCTTCTAGATGTTACATACATCCTTCACTAATTTAAACTACCCTGTATCGTAAGTAGTGTAGATGATCATAATAAAAAATATGTATATATATATACATATACAAAATGAAACATATATATACACATTCACATATTCTTATACCATTGAAAATATTTATTACTTTATTAGCATAACACAGTACCAATTTAATACTTTATTAATTTATAATTATGGGGCAATTAATTCACACAAAATCTAAGCACCTGTTGAATATGCACGATCGAGTCATAAGAAAACGATGATATCAACATTTGCCACGTAGGCCAACAGTCGCATCAACTTGGACCGCAACCAGATATAACTGCTTGCTAACGCTTTCATTTCTACAATTCCAGGATGAGAAGTAGTATTTCTCGCTCTATTCGTACTACCCGTCGAAGGCATGCCTTAAGTGTCAAACTCGAAGCCGTTTTGTCAACTTGCTCGTAATTCTATTCGATGTTCGGCAACATTCTTAAACAAAAAGCCTTAGGTTTTTCTGATACGTCAATCGTTTGATGACTTGAAACCGCTCCAATGCCATATGCATCGCTTGCGAATGCTAATGGCAGTGTACTTCATTGTAGTGTGTACGGGGAATAGGTAGCGATTTAATATTCCTTATGCCAGTTCTTTCGAATGTTTTCATCTGGCAATCGATGCTGTGACTCAGCTATTGTGGCGCTTTATGTGGCAAGAGCGACAGGTAAAAATTCACAAGATCCAAAAAAGCCTGCAATGGTTTCTTATCCTCAGGTGGTAGAGTGTCTTGCGTAGCTTGCACCTTTGAATTTAGCAGCATATTGAAAAACTGTATTCGTCCTGTTGTCCCTCATGAAATAGCCTGCCGATGCGATTAAGGAAATCGTCAGCTGCTAGATGTTCGATGTTCTCCATTGTTTTCCATTGTCAAAATGAGGTAAAAAGCCACGGAAGCCACGAAATAAGTTTTCAATTAAGCTACGAAACTATTCATTTGCCCTATTCTTTGTGCAAGGACTGTCGCATCTTCTACTGGCAACCGTTGATAGGCCTGCGCGATATCAATTTTTGCAAAAGTATTGCCGTCAATCAAATGAAACCAGATGAGTGCTGGAGATTAGTACTTTAAAATGATGCATTTAACGTGCTTTGTTCACTATCAATTTATAATCGCCGCATATTCCGATTGATCGATCGTTTTTACTGCAAGAACAACTGGCGTGACACGATCAGTAAATGCCAATGGTTCTAAAATATTTTGACCACATAGTCTGTCAATTACCACTTCCATCAAGGGCTTTATGGTAAGGACAACGATCATGCGCATGCTAATGACTTCAGCCTACATTTCCTAACACGTAGATAAACTGGAGCTAAATTTTTCAATGAGCGTTTCTAAATCTGATGCGGCTAGAAGACTTGTTTTTCATTCCTGGAACCGTAGGCAAGACTGTCTTGGAGCACTCTTCCAAGCGCAATGCCATAATTGTAGTCGATTGTTAGTTTCCTGAAACCTACAATACAGGCCTAAAAACTTTCGTCGCATTGCTCTAGCTAAAGTATTCGCCTGCCGGGAACCCCCCTCCCAGCTACAGAGAACAAAATTTCTTTTGTCCACGCCTCATTTTAGACGTCATTATCGAACAGATAATGTTTGGTGTCGAATGGCTCACAGCCGGATATATTGGTGAATTGTTGAAAGCAGTTACGTATACATCAGGTTTCGATCATTTTCGCACATGAAATGCGAGTATGAACCTGATCATGTCAAACCAACTATCTATCGTGCTATTGCATTGTTTGGAGCATTTATTAAATACTATATTGACTTAACATTAAAAAAATCAAATTTACTTAATTTAGCTGAAAGATTTTCTATGCGTTCTAAATCTAAAATGATGCCTGTGTCTCGCATTCAATTCTCACGATTGAACAGGAGCGAAAATGCAAGCACAACAGCAAGCATATAGGCATAGATAAGCCAGTGCTGCTAACAAGGTAGCAAGTAAATGATTACCGCTTAGCACCAATACATATGTCAACTTGCAAGTGCTAGAGCTGCCAATATTCCAAGATATCTCAACGACATATATAAACGTCTATAACCGATATTTGCACAAGTATAAAAAATTGCTTTTGATAGCTTTTATAACAATGTAGTTCAGTCAGTTTATTCGGATATTCTAAATGATAACCGCGAAAAAATGGCGAATTGTATTTATATACGAAATGAAAGGGATTGAAGAGTAGTAGGCGACAAGTTGACCGCCTTGATTCTATATTAAGTACCACGATGTGGATGATTGTCATTTGCTTGTAATGCTAGTCATAAGACTGACATGGAAAGGCCAAGAATAAATAAAAAACATTTTTCTATAATTATGCATAAAAGTCAAATTTTTCACTCATTACTTGAACGTTTCAAGCTTTCATTAGTTCATTAAAATAAAAATTTAATTAAACCAATTTTTTTTATATGATATAATTTTTGATAATTTTTGACTTAATCGACTTAATCGGTTTCTTCATAAAGACGGTAATCACGCCCGGTTCAAGCACCAAACTGAAGAGCTAGCTTAAAATGCGAGAGTAACTACTAACGCCATTGTTGACGAAAGCTACGATACGCGAAAAAAAAATCTTTATCATTCTAAGTGAAAAAACTGACCATCTAATCTTATAATATAATATCCTATATAATATTTGTATTAATTCATTTAAACAATTATGGAAGCAGGAATGACAAAT